GGTACATCATGCTAACTGCATTTGTACTTCAATTCCAAATTGAATACGTGCATCAATTGATTGCATTTCACATGCCATGCTTAGGTTAGCCGAGCCCACTCTAATTGCATCCTGTATGTGTTGCATTAGACATTTAAACATGGACTTGGATCATGCATTGTTTACTAACGAGTTCGTTGTTTTGGCATGGAGTACGATGTAAGTATTTTCATGTTTTAGCATGTCGCATGCGTGTGAATGCTATCATAACAGCATGTTTACCATGTGGCTAGATGCTTATGTGATAAACTGTTTGAATGCCTGTGGGTGAAGGTTGGATTGTCTGAGTTGGAAACACTCGTTGAAATTCGTGTTTTAGCCTACTTGCGGGTAGCAAATTCCAAAACATTTTTCCAAAACAAACGGATATGCAATGCTTATTTCCAAATTGGGCAATCTAGTCTATACTTGTTTGCTGTGCGCATAACATAGTAATGCTAGGCTAATAAATGGAATAAGAACACATAATTCTTTCAAAACAAGATATCACGGTTAGCAGAGGCCGATCTTCGGATCGGGTGAGAGGGGGTGCTCATAGCTGACCTTCCCCAATCGTACCCAAGTTCCCGAGCCGAGGCAACTTTGGTAATGACGGACACGTGGCCTTTGGCACCGAGTCAGGGTTTCCTAAATTCCCCCATTTAAAAATATTTAGGTGGCGACTCTGTATTTGGCAAAGCAGTCCATGTTTGGCACTTCTTTTCAAAAATCTGTTTCTCAAAATTATTTGCCGGATTTGGACTCTTTGGTTCAGATTAAGAACCGTGACACAAATCGAGTCCGAACTGTAGCGAGGGCCCTCCACGCGGGCGCGTCTACAGCGGTGTTTTCATTTGTATCTGTGCGCTCAAGCGGTAACTATGTTCGCTTGATCACTCTCACTTATTGTATTTTGTCGCTCAAGCAATGTTTTTTTTCGCTCGAGCGGTGTATGTATATATCAGTTCGTGGAAGTCACTTTTTGAGTCATTTTCTTATCTCTCTCTACATTACAAAACCTCAGATTTTCTTCCTCTGTTTGTAGAAACCATATTTAAATCTCAAATATACTATCATTCGTCAGTTTCTACAACATTGTCCTTTGGGGAAGAGGGTAGAGCTTGCCTAAAGCTTCCATTTGATCTAGGCAAAGTTGATTTTTAGCTTCGTCAAATTTCTTCACTCTATCTCTTGCCTTCTCGCTTCAAGCTTGGGATTTCTCCTTACTTTTGTATGGTTTTTAACTTGGTTATTTTCTTTTCTAAACAATATTTTGATTTAGGAATTTATGGATAAAATCTAGGGTTTTGGTTTTGAAATCTAAAGAGGGGTTTTCAAATGGGTTGTTAAAAATGGTTGTGGAATAGAAAATGTGGTTGGGTGGTGATAAAATAGTGGATTTTTATCCTAAAATATGAATATTTGATTTAGTGAAGAGGAAATTGAAATGATGTTGGGTTTTATGAAGTTGGAATGATGATGATGATGGTGGTGGTGGTGGAGTTGGATATGCATTATCACTCCCATCTTGGACTTTTGGAAAGTTTATATGTATAATTAGATTTTATCTATCTATTTAGAGATATCTGTTTTGGGCTATCGATGGATGATAGCTATGATTGTTGTAGAAATTGCAAAAGAATTAGGAGAATTGAAACCAATTTCTCATCCATTTGCATTAAGCATTGTTGCATACTTAAACACATTGTAAATGTATATTGTTTTGAGAAAAAAAGGTGAATACCTTAGTGAATCTGGGTAGGGGATGTGGTTGTGGTATTATTATTGGCTTGTGTGTCCTTGGTGAAATTACAGAAACCCACGCGGTTAGGTGTCGAGCCTTTCGGTTAGTACTGGTAAAAATGGCAATTGGTAGAGCTTGTATACCTAGAGATTCCTAGAGCTTGTATCCACTGCCCTATTTTCTGTTGTAAATGAAATAGTTTCAGGAATTGTGATATAAACCTAGCATTGCATGGTTTTGAAAAGAGATATGAAATGTTTTAGCATGAGCATTGCATATACATTCGCCTTATATCTTTGTTAAGATTAATACACTGTGTTAGAGTATCTCTACTGGGTTTTGGTTCACCCTATGTGGAAAACTATTTTCATGTAGTGATGATGTGCCTCCACCAAGGCCATAGCTTGGGAGGACTTGGAGCTAAGAGCTTCTTTTTTGTTATTGTTATAATTATTTTTGTACAAGCTAAGGGCTTAAACTGTATTGAGTTAAAACTCATTTTTGTTGTAACTAAGTATCATCTCTGAAAATTGTAGCCATTAGGGAATTTATTTATTTGTTTAACTTTATTTCATATCTTTAACTTGTGGCACATATTATAGATTCAGAGTTAGGACTTATGAATGTATAATTGCATGTGTTACTTTTTGTACAATAGAATCATATGAATGGAAGGATACTATATTTAGAACTGTATTATTATTTAATGATTGTCATGGGATGAATTATGGTTATTATTTCGTGGCGTTACAACTTGGTATCAAAGCTACCGGGCTTGAACACTTTGGGATCTTGGGATGTGATTTTTACCACAATGGTTTATCTCGCTAGTTAAAATTAGAAATAACTTGGTATGCTATGTGATAACATGCTTATGTGACTAAGTAGATATGAAGTTAAATTTCTAAGATATTAATTGGGTCTATGAGTTTCTAGATGTCTCGTTAGAAGAGTACTTGATCACTGCTATTTCTAATTGGAACTCTGGCAACATCGTGGGACGATCATTATCTAGAAAGGAAGTTCGTTTGTGTTTATGTGACTATGTGCTTATGTGGAGTTAATTAATTGTTGTCCACCATATTAGAACGTGAGTGAATTAGTTTTAGCACATTTGTAAATGTGCTAATCTCTTGTGTTACCTTCATTAGGGTGTCAGGACGTGGATGTGGTGGTGGTAGGCGTGACAAGCCTAGATGGTAGGAGGTGCCATTACCAGATAATATTCCGACACAGGAGGAAGGGGTTAGTTAGGCCAGTATGGCCAAAATAGTTAGTCAGCAGACCATGGGTGCTCTGGGCCGTGAAATGGCCGGAGTTTTGCGGGAATCCATGGACATTCTTAGAGCTGAGAATCAAATCCATGCCCATGTTGCTGAGACAAGGCCGTCTTTTTTGAAGAAGGAGTTCTTTCGGTCTAATTCGTATGAGTTTTTGGGGCATCTGAAGGAGCCACTAAGGCCGAATGAGTGGCTAGAGCAGATGGTGAAGACGTTCGAGATGCTTGGCATTGAGGACGATGGGCTGAGCGTAACCTTGGCATCCTTCCAGTTGAAGAGAGATGCAGGTCAGTAGTAGAAGTACGCGCATGGGCGCATTAGGGTGACTTGGGAGGCCTTTGTCAGCGCCTTCCAGGACAAGTTTTTGCCTCCCATTGCTAGGGAGAAATTGAGAGAGTAGTTTCTCAAGCTCAAGTAGTTCAAAACACTAGTGGTCGAGTTTGAGGCTGCCCTTACTAGTTTATCGAGGTTTGCACCAGAACTCATGGCGATGGAGGAACACCGTTGCATTGAGTTCAAGAAGAGATTGAGGATTGGGTTTCTTTTCAAAGTGGTTGGGTCCATGATTAGGGACTACAGACGCCTTGTGGAGGTGGTAGCTCATCTTGAGACCGTGGTTCAGTCGGAGGAGGAGCGGATGAGGGACGTCAGGTAGAGGAGTCAGGAGATTCAGGGGGAGACTCAGGACAACAAGAGGCATAGGGGTTCTACCCCACAGTAGTCCTATGGACCCCAATCTAGATCCACCTTTCTTGTATTGAGTTCTAGGTTAGGGAGAGGTGGTCAGGGTGGATCACTTGTTTCAAGTGTGGCCAGCTGAGCCACAAGTCTTTAGTTTGCCCTCAAAGAGGATGAGGGAACAGTCTGCACTGTCTGCAGCTTGTCTTTAGAGCTAGAGTCAGGAGAGTTGGGCAATCGCCTACATGTCATCAATGTGGGTAGTCAGGGCACGTGAGAACATTTTGCCCTCAGTCCAGTGGCACATCTGGTGTGCCTAGTAAGTATCTCCACTTAGGGTAGAGTCACCTATTGGTGGTGAGGTTATTTTGGACTAGGGGTGTCAGGGTTGTGAGATAGAGGTTGCCGATCGCCGACATCCTTTCGCTTTTGTGTTGATTGATATGGTGAATTTTGATGTCATTTTGGACATGGATTGGTTGCCATCTTATAGGGTCATTATCGACTGTTAGCGTTAGAGGGTTACGGTGTGTACCTCGAGTGGTGATTGTTTTTATTTTCTGGGGGACCGAGTTGATAGAGCTTTGTTGCCAGTGGATGATTTGCATGGTCAGGGTGAGCTTAGTCTCCTTTTTGGTACTTTCATAGGTGTTGAGAGTGATGTGGTCCGAGTAGAGTTACCGAGGGTCATTACAACAAAACTAAGTTTTTACGGCTTCACATCAACGACATGCAGTAAATGCAAGCCATGGTTTCTCATTTTTATGACTTGACTTGCTTTGTTTGCATGTCGTAAATAATTTCCTAACCACGACGTGTCTATTGCGTAGGTCGTGAATGCTAATAACAATGATTTTTTTATGGCTTGCAATGTTAGCCGTAAATAATAAAACTTTCTATGGCGTGCATATGGTATGTCGTAAATACATCAACTATATACGACACGCGTACACCAGCTGTTAAAAATATTGAATATTTCACGGTGCATAAAAAGCCAGCCGTTAAAAATTGCACTTTCCATGACGCACAAAAATCCAGTCGTTTAAAATATTACACTTTCCACGATGAGCAATTGTTGTCGTGAAAGGGACGACCGAAAAAAAGTAGCGCCAAAATAAAAATTTTGAGCACCAAACACCAAATTTTTTTTTTAAAAAAAAAGAAGAAAGAAAGAAACAATCAAAAGCCCTAACTTTTTAGCCCCAACATAAATCTTAAAAAAAAAAAACTCAAAGTGTTTTTTGTGCAGAGAGGAGGGCGATAAAGAAGAAGAATAGACACTATGATGAATCCTCCATCTTCATTACCATAACTCACCTTTTTTCCTTCACCCCATAACCCTAACCCTAACCCTAACTTCTTCTATTCTCATATCCACCACCATCCCTCTTCCATCACCACCACCAACTCAATCACTTCACCACCGCCACCTTCGCCTCTGCCGTAGCCTTCTGATCTCCCAATCGCTCTCTTAGCACTCAAACACCTCATCCACCTCTTCGAAACCACCCTCCACTCCATCTCCACTCTCATCCCCACAACTGCCACCACCATCGCCCTCTGTCCTCGCCCTTTCAATTTTCACCACCGTCATCTGCCGGAATCCCTTTTTTGCCACTCCTTCTAATGCCCTTATTTCCGTTCCCCTCTTCTCAATCTCGATCCCCTTCTATTCTAATCACTGTGCTACCCCAACACTCTCAAACCCTTCCAACAACTCTTTAATTAGAACCGCTTCCTTCAAACCCTACACGATCCCAACTTCGACCTCTGTTTCTCCCGCAATGATTATTGTGACTTCGGCCCCAATCTCCTCTACTGTAATTACCCCAGCGTAGTTAGCTCTACCGATCGAGATAGTTTGAGCTGAACCATTGCTCTCCCAGGTATTTTATCGATTCAGTGTGCAAATTTTGTAGGCAGTGATAATGATGAAATTAAGGGGTTTTCTAGGGATTGTGTTAGGCTTCTTTCCTCGGAGTGGTTTGTTAGGAACGAAATCGAGTCGTGGAGGGAATATCCTATTGCCTATTCGTATAGAGTTCTTTGGATCATTTTGTGTTTTTTTATGGCTGAAGAATGTGATTTCCTTAGATGGGTAATTGTGAATTCGCCTTGTTATGATGTTCTGAATGATGTGCCTATGAGGGACCATATTGTTTTACTTTTTTAGCTTTGTTTGAAAGCAATTGTGAGTGAAGCTACTGGTTCAGTAGATTTAGTATTGAATAGAGATGCAAGGGAGTTGAATCTGGTTGCTATATATGAGTTTAAGTATCCCATTTTGGACCTCAGAGCCTGTCATTAATGTCTCTTTGCTGGCTGATGTATGCGACCGCAATGTTGTTTTTTAAAGCAGTAGGTTCTTGCTACTTTAGAGGGAAGTAGACAACTGTTTTTTTTTGGTTATATGATTAAATTGAATTGGAATTTTACTGTTATTGAGTGAAATTGTTGGATTGTCTGGCGATTATGAATTTGTAATTTTTTTTTTGTATGGAATTAAGCAAAAATTGTTGGGTAATTAGGCGAAATTGAGTGAAAAATTATGTTAAAATTGTAGGGGTTAGTTGATGAATCTGCCAGAATTGTCAATTGTTTGGTAAAATAAGTTGAAATTCAAAAAAAAAAAAAAAAAAAAAAATTTTCTTGGATTCTGAAGGAATATTTTTCGCAAAAAACCCTCCAACTTTTGTTCCATATACTAGTATCACTGAAGTGCCTCTCTCTTCATTACTTTACTCTCTAATACTATGTTTCTTCTCCACCCCCATAGCTTTCCACTGTTGCCACTGTTGCAGATGATGGTTCATATTCATCCCCAGCTTTTCTCCCAAACGAAGGAAGCTTTCGTATACCGCTGTAAAGCTCTCTACTTTTTGCAAATTTTATTGAATTTGAATGATTTAGCAACTTAGAATGTGAGTCTTTGTTTGAAATTGATTTGAGTGTTGATATTAATTTGAATTTAGGTTGAGAAGGTAGATAAGAATGCGAAATTCATAGAGGTTGTTGATTGTGAAGATAAGGAAGAGGATGATTGGCTACCTCCATCTCCTACAGTTTCAGCTGATACACTGAAACTTAGTGAGGATTCAACTATAAAGGAGTTAAGGTATATTCCCTTTTTTGGTTTCAACTTAATGGGTTAGCTTAGGAATTCATTTTATGTTTTGTGACACCCTTTCCTTCTCCTTCCCTATATATGATATTTAGTTGTTTTGATTGCGTATTTTTGTATCATGCATGTGTATGGTGAAAATTGATTGAATACGAGTAGAGCTTAAAACTTGGTATGATTTTAGCCCCTGTTTACTCTTATTCTGTTCATATGCATTAACTTTGCTGATTTTCTAAAATTCACCCCCCCAAAAAAAATAAATCATTTTGCTTTGGAATTTTGATATACCCTCTATCAATGAGTTATTGGTATATTCACATTTTTGTAAGATCATGGGATGCGTTTTGAGTTTCGAAAACCTCTTGTTTTTACGGTTGGATCCTACACATTTCTGGGAGTAGCAAGTAACCCTCACTTTGTTTCTATGCCTTACAGAGCGAAACTAGTGCCAAATGTTAGATATATGAGATACCTTTCCATGTACACAAGAATCACTAGAAAATATTAATTATTGAGAGAGTTGTGATCATTTTTCTAAAACGCGACAGGAACAGACCAGTACTGCTTGAACCTATATTTTCACCCCCTTGATGTGATTTTTAGACTTTTCTTCCATCTGATAAAATATCCCTAACTCAAATACCTTTCCAATGGTGGACTTACTAAGGTTGGACATCGTTTGATGCCTCTGTTCATTTTTCTAACTCAGCCTACCTGCGTTGGAGTCTGCCAAACTCACTGTTTGAATATACCAGTTTTCTTCCAAAAATGAGTTCTCTATTATAAAGTGATTTTTAGCTCTAGAGTTATTCTTAAAATATCTTCCTAACTTATTAAACTATCTCCAGTAAAAATATCATGATCATTTGACTTCATTCGGTATGAGCTCGTATTTTTCTTTAGAACCGTTCACTGTTGAGAATATGGATAGAACATAGTAAATGGCCTATAGATAAATCTCTGGTTATGTTATGCAACTAATAAAAGAAAATTTGAAATAAAAGTGGACCTGTTCTATGTTGTGTTCAAATTTCAGAACCTAAAAAGATCCTAAATGGTTTACAAATCCATTCTTTTGGCCTGTTATTCTAAAAGAAAAACGCTGAAAATTATTACCTTTGTGTTACTTGTTCTTAAGTGTTCAAAGGCATGATTAAATGAATTTGTATGAAAAGCATGATTTAAATTATTTTATTTAAATCTATGAGATACATTTTAGTTTATGACACTTGAAACTAATTTTTTGTGTTAAAGTTGTATTTGCATATTCTAGACTTGAAAAGTGTCCTAAGTTGATGGGTTTCCTGACTTTGGGTATATGGTTGCCACATTTTAATTAATCCTATGAAACATTATTGAATAAATTGGAACTTGCTTAAATCTCGAGTAATGTTATTCTTGCATGATATCATGATTTTAAGTGTGATGTTGTTATGTTCTCTTGAGATAAAGAAAATGATTATTTAATAAATTTAGAGTTTCCATGTCGAATATCATAATGAGTAGATTATGACATAATAGAAGGATGATGTAACCATTGTTATGGTATTGAAATGATTATTTAATAAATTTAGAGTTTGCCTTGTTGATTCCTTCATTTGGGATCAATTTTCTGGTAGTGTTTCACCCCTGAAGCTTCATAATTGATTTTACAATGTGTTAATTTGTTCCTCCATTAACTGAAATGCTTCAAGTTTACTTCTTGTCACCAATACAAATCTTATACAAGTGTATATTTTGTGTCTTTCATTGTGTTTGAATTAATTGAGATGTCATCTGATGTGCACAAGAGGCAAACTACTCTATTCTCAGCTACCCAGACTAAGAAGGTATTTCTGTACAAGCTTTTATCAATATCTTTGAATTCTTTTCTTTATAGAAACTCTCACAGTGAATAAAATTCTGATAAGATTTTCCTAATTTTGTTGCTTGAACATCGTAAGTGTTTCTAACACCAAAATTATAAATTCCGTGTTTACGGAAGCTTAAGCATAAATATCTATAAATATTCAGGTTAAGGATCTTGCTTGGTTATCGTTTCAGACAACTCTTGTCTCTATGGGTGGAAGAAGGTAAATTAATCATTGGAAGTTATTTAGTGTGTTGTGATTTTCTTTAGTACCAGCTGCTAGAACCTGATAAGATGTCTGCTATTATAGGTCACTAATGAAGGGCTCCAACAAGGATATTGTGTTGTGCCAAGTGCCAAAAGATTTATTCTTTTGTATTACTTCTGGAAGAGGAATCTCTCAAAGAAAGTGATGGTTTTCTTCTCTTCATGTAACTTAGTCAAGTTCCACTCTGAACTTCTCAAATGCATTCATGTAGATTGCTTTGATATCCATGGAAAGCGAAAGCAGTAGAAACGTTCATCCGCTTTTTTTGACTTCTGCAAAGCAGAGAAAGGCATCTTATTATGTACTGATGTTGCTGCTTGGGGTCTTGATATTCCTTCAGTGGTATGTTACTTTCCTTTGCTTGTTGGTCTTGAATATAGTATGCTAGCAATGATAGTCCTCAACCCCGAACAAAAAGAAACAATAAGGAAGGGATTTATAGCAGCATTTTTCAAACAAACAAACTTTTATTTGATGGGAATGGAGTTGATGAGTGCACATGGGAATACTTGCTTCTTTCAAGCTTTTATAAAATATTGCTTTGTCTTGATATATAGCTAACTTTTAGATAGAAAGACATGTCACAAAGTTTTTTAAAAAATATTAATTAAAAGATAGAATACTTGTAGCTTATATTAAAGTTCATGGAGAAGGAAAATGGAGAAACATCCCAAAGAGAGCTGGAACTTTTTTTTTTTTTTTTTCCCTTTATGTTTTCTTCTACTCATTGTTCACTTAGATCTCTAATTTTGCTCTTTTTATTTATTTATTTATTTTTTTGTTTTGATAAATGCAGGTTTGAAGCAATGTGGTAAGAGTTGCAAGCTTAGATGGTTGAATTATCTTAGACCAGACATCAAAAGAGGCAACATATCCCTACTGCAACAAAAAAACATTTTTAATAACATTTTTTAATCGTATTCTTCTTAAAATGTTATCAAATATAATGCATTTAGCATCAGATGACATGAGTGTTTTTTTTCCAATGAATTCATATTTTATTGGCAAATGGTTTAGTTGCTCCAGCTATTGCCGTGGGTTTAGGTGCCTTAGCACATACATTGGGCACCCTTGTCCCTATGATAGGAGCAAGTGGGTTTGCTGAAGCTGCAACTGCTATAAGAACCGTTACCAGTAGGTTTAGATAATCTTAAAATAGTTTTGGATATGTTTATATACATTGTTTTGGATGGTTTAAACTTTTTGGACAATTTAGAACTTAAGGATATAGTTTTCGAATGTTTGGAATGTATAGACAATTGTTGAATGTTCATAATTTATGGATATAGTTTCTTTTTGATGCTTCAAACAATATTTTGGTGGTTGATTGACGTTTTGTGAGGCTCATTTGTAATGTTTATTAGATTGTACAAAATTGGTCAAATAAAACCTCCTGAATTAAAAAACAAATAAAAATTTGCATATTCTACAGCAGGCATAATAAGTCGTCATATTACATATTTTACGATGTGCAAGGAGAGTTGTGATTTGTTCCAAGAATTAACGGTGTGCAAAAGTAGTTGCAAAAAAATCAAACACGACACACAAGATCCGTTGTTAAAGGGTTTTTTACGGCGTACTATGACATGCCGTTGAAAGTGAATGACTTTCGATGACTGGTCATAATATGATGTTATCTTGTGCGTCGTAGAATCGTATCCACGGTGTGCATTTGGCGCTATAAAATCCTTTTTTGTTGTAGTCCCTAGGATCTTACTAATTTATGACGTCACCATGAGATCCAGTTCTCTATTGATTTAGTCTTTGTCACATCACTGATTTCTATGGCACCATATAGATTTGTACCCGCCGAGTTGAGTAAGTTGAAGATTCAACTCCAAGAATTGTTAGATAAGGGCTTTATCCACTCTAGTACATCGCATTGGGGAGCACTGGCTCTTTTTGCCAAGAAGAATGATGGCATATTGTGACTTTGTATTGATTATCAAAAGCTGAATTAGGTAACTGTTAAGAACAAGTACCCATTGCCTCGTATAGATGACTTGTTTGACCCATTGAAGGGATCTTGTTGCTTTTCTAAAATAGACTTGAGATTGGGTTATCATGAGTTGAGAGTGAAGGAAGAGGATATCCAGAAAATGGCATTCCGTACGTGGTATGACCATTATGAGTTCCTAGTGACGCCTTTTGGGTTGACCAACGCACTGGCTTTGTTTATGGATTATATGAATCAAATCTTTCGTGAGTTCCTATACCATTTTGCGGTTGTCTTCGTTGACAACATTTTAATCTATTCATCCTCTAAGGAGGAACACGAGGAACACTTGTGGGTTGTGCTTGAGTTGCTTAGAGCCCACAGATTGTATGATAAGTCCAAGAAGTGTGAGTTCTGGTTGAATGAGGTGAAATTCTTAGGCCATGTGGTATTCGGGGAAGGGGTGACTGTAGATTCTTTTAAGATAGAGACAGTGCAAGATTAGAAATAACCTAAGAATGCCTTTGAAATCCAAAGTTTCTTGGGGTTAGCCGGGTATTACCATTATTTTGTAAAGAATTTCTCTAGATTGGCCTCACATTTGACTAGATTGACGCGAAAGGGAATCAAATTTGTGAGAAGTCATTTCAAGAGCTTAAGGCTAGACTTACCAATGCTCCAGTGTTGATTATTTCAGATGGGGGTTTGGGCTATTTAGTGTATTGTGATGGGTCTCGGGAAGGTTTGGGTTGCGTCTTGATACAAGAGGGGAAGGTAGTAGCTTATGGCTCATGACAGTTGCAAACACATGAGAGAAAGTACCTTACTCACGACTTAGAACTAGCAGTAGTGATTTTTGCTTTAAAAGAACTAGCAGAAATTATCTTTATGGAGAGAGATTTGAGGTCTTTTCCGATCACAAGAGTCTGAAGTAT